ATGTATATATACATATATATATATACATATACATATATGTATATATATATATATATATATATATATATATATACATTCGTTTGTATGCTGCTTGTTTGAAAATATTGGTTCGCGAGTGCAAAAATGATCTTTGAACATAGAATGTAAAAAAAAAAAAAGAAGTGGAAACCAATTCTAGGATCTGAAACCAAATAATTTGTTGATCAATACACATGGACGCATCAAAATTGCCGATTTCGGGTTGGCACGATTTTTTGGCTCGCCTAATCGAAATTACACGCATCAGGTATGTGCTTTTGTGCTGTACGCGGAAAAACATTTTTTTAATTTTTCGGAATCACTCTCACGCAGCGTCGCATAGGATATCCTGCAAATTACAAACCCTGTTTGATGAATAATTGTACCATATCTAACGGCAACGGCACAAGTGTGGCACATCGAGGTCACTTCTCAAGACAGTTTCGGCTTGGCTGGGTTGGAAGGCAACCTGTGGTGATAACGGAAAAAAGAATTGAGGGCAAGAGTGGCAATTTTGGTACCAGGAGTCAGAACAGGAGCGTAGAGACGGGAAGGGAGGAAGAAGCAAAGTTATTGATTGCAAAAAAGCTGAGATTTCGCTTAGGGGGTAGAAATTTGGAACAGGAAAGGGGTTTTAGAGGGGGAGCGAATATCCCTATGAGTCTTCATGCTCAACCTAAAATTTGATGCTAAGGGGAAGTTAGCAATCTATACAAATCTTAATCCAGTTTGGAGCTAAATCTATATCAGTCTAGCTTGCTGGACATGGTAGATGCATTCTGTTTCAACGTTAAAGATGGGTGATTCTGCTCAGGGGGATGGGTTTCGTCGTCCAGATTGGACAATTCTCGATATTTGCTCATTGTCCAATTTTCATTTTCCGTGAATGACCGGTCATCAGCAGTTATTCTTTCCCTGTCGTCCAAAATCTGTGGTAATCATGCATGCTGGAGGTTATTTCATGCCGTCTCATTATGCAAACTACCATCCCATCCTACCTGTAAGAAAGGACACAATGCAGCCAAGTTGTATACACATGTTGAAATGTTGAGCAACAACTATTCTCTTACTATTAACAGTTGGACCGCTTCGAGTTTGAGGCAAAAATTTATGATTTGCGCGGGCAAGAGTGGCGCGTTTCTGCCTGCATTTTTACTTAAGTTAGCTGTTGTTTTCATCGTCGCGTTATTTCTCAGCACTGATTTAGTTGAAAACTCTACTGTTCTCAATTTTTGATCTCTCTCACTAACATACTTCCATACAGCCTTCAAGTTTTAGGTTTATAAAATTCTATTTAAGCATCACAACACTATAATGAGCGTAATTATGCAGGTGGTAACAAGATGGTATCGCGCGCCTGAATTGATATATGGAGCGCGTTCCTACGGTGTTGGTGTTGACATCTGGGCCGTTGGTTGCATTATTGCCGAACTATTACTACGGGTTTATTTCTTCAAATATTTCCAAAAATTCAACAATCACTTGTGAGATGATTTGGATCAGTTGCAATTAATATTTCTTCCAAATGAATCTCTGACAACTTTTTCGTTTATGTTGACCAGCATCTCTTGATGGTTAGCCCTCTGGTGATCCTGACGCTCCTTTTCAACAAAAATCATTGCATAACTTTGACCGTTTCGAGATGTCCTTGGCTTATGCGTGTGTAATGTATGTGTGTGTTTTTATGTATGCGTGTGCTTGTATGTATGTATGTGTGTATGTGTGTATTTATGCTTGGAATACTTGGATCAATTACAACTAACATTTCTTCCAAATGAGGTGTGTATATATATATGTACGTATGTATGTATGTATGTATGTATGTATGTATGTATGTATGTATGTATGTATGTA